AAAAAAAAAAAAAAAAAAAAAAAAAAAAAAAACACGTACAACAATCCACCCGATACACATTCCTTCTTGGATATTATGCATCGAGACAGCGTCCGTGTGAATAGTACACCCGCTTCTCCATGGCCCGCAGTGCCTGCCGCATCAAACTCACCTCGCTGCTCACGCCGTGCAGCTCCAGACGGTGACGCTCCTCCGCCCGCTGCTGCCGCCGCCGCGACCGTCGCAGGGCCGCCCGCAGCCGCCGCACTTCGGCCTCCCGCGCTGCCAACACCGACGCGTGCCGTTCGGCCACCGCCGCCGCCGCCGCCCGCCGCCCGTCCAACTCGTGCCGCAGTCGTTGCAGCAACAAAACGGAGTCATCGCCGCGGCGGCCCATCGCCCGCTGCAAATCCGACGCGTGTCGACGGCGTTCCGTCTGCAGCGCAGCGTTTGCCTCCGCCACGGAAGCCCGCAGTCCCTCTACTGTACCTCGCAGTTCGCGCTGCTCAATCTGCGAATCGTGGCGATAGCGGATAAGGTCGGCGAGGGTCGTTTGGTGCAGCTTTTGAAGGCGGGAAATGGTAGATAAATGTTGAGAGACAATATCTTCATGACACCGCGTACGCTCACGCTCCTCGTCTACACGTTTGGCACGCTCATGCTCGTACATAGAACGTTGCGCATCTAACTGCTCTTGCAACATATGTACCTCCTCCTTCAGTGCGGAGACAAGGTTAAGAGAGGGTGAAGTTGGCAGTGCCATTTCCTGTAGTGCTGCATTCGTCTCAATAAATGAGGCATCCTTCTCCCCAGTTGAATGTTGATTACGCACAGCCTGTCGAAGACTCATTGTTCCACCATCAACACCACCACCACCACCACCACCACCAATGTTGCTGTTTCCACTACCACCTTTCCCCTTCTGGGGATGGATGGATGCATTATTTTTACCTAAAGAAGTATACAGTGGTTGTTTCTTTTCGTTACCATGTAGTGAACGAGATCTACCAGTTGTTGCAGTAGCTGTACTAGGGGAAACACCTGTGACTGCAGCAAATCCTTCATTTGATGGTCTATGTAACTGTAGGAATGAAGCAATCCGCTTACGATCTTCTTCTGCTTGTGCGTGAAGAACTGTATTTTCATATAGTAATCGATCCGCCCGCTCTCTTTCTTCTTGTAGCATAAGTCGATTCTCTGAAAGTTCTCTCTCCAGTTCACCTAATTTTTTTTCCTTTTCATTAACCTCCCCACGTAGACGCTGTGACTCTTCATATTCTGGTTTGATGCACTCATCAATGCGCTGAAGTAGAGCAAGTTTCTCTCCATCATGGTTCCGTATTGTTTGCATCAACATTCGCACATAATCTTCACCAATCACCGCCCCCTCACACGGTTTTGACACAGGAGACGCCATAACAATGTCAGCACAGCTATTCTTCCCTGTACCGCCTCGAGGAGAAGAAGTTGTCAAATGCGGTTGCTTATGATGATCCCGCACAAGCATTTTTAAAAAAGAAAAAAATAGCCGTCAAGTTCCTCTTCACCTGGTGCCAGAAAACAATACACTAGAAGGTAAATAAAAAAAAAAAAAAAAAGAATAAAGAAGGAATACCAGCAAATAGTTATGTCAAAATAAAAAAGGTTCCATTTTCAGAGTGAGTAACTCCAAACAAATCCTCTGGAAAAATAAAAATAAAAATAAACCTCTTGACACCCTTTAAAAGATTGTGTCTTCACACCCCTTTTTTTTGGGAAGAGGGGGAGAAGGGAGGTTCGAGAGCAGGCAAATAATAGCCTCAAAAAACAATAAGCGTATAGTGGTATAACAAAAAGGAATTCCGTAATGTTATTATTTTTCTTTTTTTTTTCTTTTTTTTACGTTTGTTTTTGTTCTTCTTTTTTGGGGTTTCTTCCTTTTGTTTTCAACATCCTTCTGGGTTTTTTTTTTATTATTATTTGCCTTTCGTTCTTGTTATATTATATCATCATGATTCTGTGCAAACTTCAATGTATCCGTGGCGATCTGCATTATAAGGCTCCAATAAGAATTGGGCAAATTTTTGCAGTGCTGGGACCCCACGCACTTCGTCACTCAAAAGCGGCATTTTTACCACGTGAAAATCTTCATACAAGGCGTCTATTTGTGCCAAATACTTCGCCTGTATCTTTTGTCGTGCCTCACACATACGACACTTGGGTTCACTAGACGGTTTCAGTACAAGCTGATTCACAACAATGCTATCGCAACTAATATCATACTTCATTAGCTCCTGTACCAGACGTTCTGTCTCATAAACACTTAAAAATTCCGGGATACAAACACATACAAAAGCAGTTTTTTCAGCATCAGTAAACTGCCGCTGAACTTCCTGTACGCTCTCACGCCATCTGTTAAAGGCAGGTACCATGGAAGAAATATTTCCAGCGTCTCCAGATGAAGATGATGATGATGAGGTGCTGGTATTGGAGGAAGAAGAGAACAGGCTACCCGCTGTTTGAATTAGTGGAAGAAGACCTTCCACGGCGGACAACTTGTCAATTGTGGAATTTAATGTCTGTGGTAGTGCAAGAAGACGCAGTGTGTGACCAGTTGGTGCAGTGTCAAAGATTACCACATCATAGGATAGTTGCTGTACAGCACGTAGGATCTCTGCAAAGACAGATAGTTCATCTATACCTGGAAGTGTACTCGCTGCTTCCTTTAGGATATTCCCAAGAGCTGCAAAGGGTGAGGATGAACTACCCCCTGTTGTAGACCCAAAAACGGCGGCGAGTTCCCCATGTGTAAAGTTTGTTGGATCAACCTCCATTGCAGCAAGTGTAGCCTCCATCCCCTTTACGGGAGTTGGCGTCTTGCCGAATCTCTGTCCGAATGCATCACTCAAATTGTGTGCGGGGTCTGTGGAGAGCAGCAGTACACGTCGCGGGCGGTCGGACTGCGTGGCGGCATCGTACACCGGCGTGGACGCGAAGAGAGTGGCGAGAGCGCAGGACGTTGTGGTCTTCCCAACGCCGCCCTTCCCGCCTACGAAGATCCATTGCAGTCCGGAGACCAACAGCTCCTGCAACGAGGGGGCAAGGGACATGAGAAGAGCAATAGATAAATAAATAAATAGATAAGTAAATAAAAGAAAGTGGATACCAGAAAACGCTGTCTGTGGCCACCCACAAGGTTGATAAGGTCTTCATTAGGGAAAGAAAAAAAAAAAAAAAGAAAGAGATAAAAGAAAGAATGAGAGCATATTGCAAGAAAGAATATAACATCAGCTTATCAGTTCTTATAAACATGGGAATTATTATTATTATTATTATTATTATTACCATTTCCTGGATAGTTGAGAAGGCACCACAGTACCATCTCAGACTGTCCAGTACCAGAACATGGGGCAAAGAAACAGATGCAGCCTTCCCTCTCACCCCTCTTCTCTTCCTTTAGCCTCCCCAGATATACAAACCCACAGATGCAAACACATTGAAGAGAGCACATGAAGGGAATGCATGAAAAAGAAAAGGAAAAAAAAAAAAAA